TGTGTGTCTTTTGTTTAACTATTGTATGAAAGTTGAACGATATTGTATAAAAATTATATTTAAATTGTATGATATTGTAGTTGTATATAATTGAGTAGAAATAATGTAAAAATTGTAGATAAGTCGTATAATATAATTAGTTGTATGAATTTATTTTTACTATGTATAAATCAGATACAAAATATATAAAAGACATATTGTATAAATTTTGTATAAAATTTATATTTAAGTTTTATATTATTGTAGTTGTATATAACTGGGTAGAAAATGTATGAAAGTGTAGATAAGTTGCAGAGTTGTATAATATATAGTTAGTTGTATGAACTCATTATATTTTTAAAGTTATGGGTTCATATCTATTATTGTTATAATTTTAATAAATTTTTACATGCAAATTTTTATTATACGTCGAAAATTATAGGTTCGGTTGAACCCGTCAGTAGAATACTACATAAGCCTCTGAAACCCGCATCTCCCATTGCTACAATCGAACGCCCATACCCGTGTACCACCCCTAATCAGTCGCTGCTACGTTATAAAAAAGAACACCAACCTAAGTCAAGCATAAACTAATTGAAGCTTAAGGTCCATGAAAAGTTGACGAGAAATTACGTAAACTTAAATAGTCACTGACATCATCTGGTTGTTTTTAAGTAATGCAAAAGTATGAAATAATCAGCCAAAACACATGATACTTTTAACATACTTTTCCATTTGTCTTTTGATTTTAACACATACTTTTTATTTCTTTTTTGTATCTTTTCTGGGTTGACTTTGTTAGTGTTTGCTGACAATTGCTACTTCTTAATTTGTTCCAAATCAGCGTGGATGATCGAAGGCACTGCCGATAATTGGAGAAAACTAAGGAAAGAGAAGAGAGAAAAAAAAACAAGGAAAATGGTGTAACTAAATCTCTTGATTGAAGGCACAAATAATGGATTTGGAAGCCTATTAAGGTGGATTGTATATATTTTGTAAACAAAACTTGTTTGTGCCGGGTAATTAGCTATACATGGACATTAAGGGTAATAAAATTTTAAATAGTGTATAGGAATGAAAAAATCCCATATTTATATAAGTAGGCTGAGTGGATATACCGTGCCAAATAGATCAGTATACAAATAGTCGTTATACAAAGATTATACACATATTATACATAGATTGTTCATATATTATAAACCCGCCGACTAATTTAAATTTAAGTGATTGGGTGAGCAGCTATTTAAATTAATTCTTCATGCCAAATTCCTTTGGATCGATTATATAAGTTCAATATATGGGTTTAATAAATACATCTAATTCCTTTTTGGTTGGATTATAAATGAACCCACTTTGTTAAACCCAAGATGTTACTTCATCTTAGAGACCCAGTTTGGGGCCACGTTTCAAATAACGTGGCATACCAAGTCAAATAAAAGAGTTAATAGGATCGGGTCACATGCTAAAATACACATGACATGCTAAGTCAAATCTGAAGGTAAATGAAAATGTCTTAGGTGTATATATGACATGTTCCAACCAATCAATGTGGTCTTGCTAGCACTTCAATCTGATTGGTTAACCAATCAAATCAAATTAAAGAATAAGAGGTTATCCTCGTCACAACTTTTTGCTTCTACAACTATAAATGGAGTCATCATAACTCAGAAAAGGGACCAGAATCCATAATAAGAAACGAGAGAGAGCTTGTGGATCAAAGACCAAAAGTTTCTCTACAAACTTCTAGTATCCAAGCACTCAAAATTCAAGCTCAAGATCAAACATACAAGTTCAAGCTCAAGATCAAAGAACAAATCAATATTCAACAAGTATGACCTAAAATCATCTATTCATGCTAGTTGAATTAAAGATCATTGTTCGTGACTGTATAACCCAAAACTTAGATCTAGGTTTAAATACAATTATATTTTTAGAGAAAAAGCGTTAATCCAAGTCAATATTAGTAACCAAGTAATAGATCTAGTATTTTTGTGAAAAGTATTAGGTGCGTACTAAAAGATAAGAGCATCTCAGAGCAATAATGGCTTAAGAACGTAAATGATAGCAATAAATGGCATTTAAGTAATAAATAGAACAAGGTTTACCCGACAAAGGTGAGATGTTCCACTAAGCTTATGACAGTGATGGATGATGGTAAGCAATTGAATACTTTGGTTCTTCTTGGATCGGGAGAGAAAGATAGGACAGAAGGAACATAAAGGTAAATTTTGTATTTATTCAATAAAGATGGTGTAACGATCCGACCGGTCGTTTTAAGAATTAGCATCCCGTTCAGCGGCTTAAGGTCTCGAGTAGCTTCGTAATATATGTTATGACTTGCGTGCAAGGTCAAATTTGCTCTACACATACGTATTTGTAATTTTTAGTTAAGGTTATCCCCTGAGGAGCTTGGAGTCATCAGGGATATTTGGGAAAATTGCAAATTTTTTGCCATAACCACGTGCTAATCCTGCTTCTTTTTTGCCACCGGTCAAACGAATGGACTCTGCTTCCTCCACATTTGCACAGTCTTGTAGCAGCTGCTACAATGACACAAAACGTAAAGAAACAAAATTAAATGGAGAAAGAGGAAAGTTTTGATTTCAGATAAATTCTTCAACACACTGAGCCTCCTATGTATACTACGTTGGATAGCTGTATCTCAGAATAATTCCTAACAACTCCATATAGGGGATTACACGTGTCCTATGGATTATATACCCCCCCAGACTTACTCAACTAACCTAAAGTGCTATTCATGAAAGTGACTAAAACTTAAAGGTATCTAATGGGACGTGTCTAACCGTAACCGGACCGGCCCAGACCGGTTAAAACCGGAACCGGCCCGGACTCAAGGGGGTCGGGTGGGGCTGGGTTAAAGGGGTAGGGGGTTTAGTCCGTTCACCTATTTTCAACCGGTTAACCGGACCGGTCAAACCCGATCAACAGAAATCAGACATACAAGGAACTATGATCACACCTATTCCAAACTATGTGTTATCCCTTTTAATAACAGAATTAATGGTAAGGATTGAACTATCTTGATACTCACGAAATTGTTCTACTGTTTAGACAATCAATTCTTAGCATAAAACTGATGACCCATGAATTGAGGGAAAGGCTAATTAATGAATAATTAATGAAAAATTCTTGACTAGGGATTAAATGACGTGGACTGCTGATTTTAGTAGTTAATAAATGATGCCAATGGATTTACTCAATACTAAGATAGCTAGGGGCCGATTTTACAGCATTTGTGGGCTATGCATGAGAAAATATTTTCGTTCAGCCCTCAAACAGGTCTGTTGTGAACATTTGTGGGCCTATAATCGAGCCCAAGCAATGAAGTAGTGTGTAAATCTTATTAGGCCCAATAACATGCCCCAACAAGAGATTCGCAGACTCCTTAAACAAACAGATCCAATCACATTCCATAGCTCACAAAATTTCGGACAAACATGGATTACTTAAAGTTATCATCAATTCCTGATTAATAGTGTAACACCCCGTACATTCGGACTAGGTATGGATATGTTAAATGGGTATTAATTTGATCTTTTAGACATATGAAGTCCTAGCGGGATGATTGTCGGTGAAAATAGTTGTTTCAAAATCAAGATGGAAAGTGAGGTGCATAAGATTTGACAAAAATCGACTAAGTTTGCAGAAGGTTTGTATTCTATCAGTATTTAGTGAAAATGCGTAAGGAATTTGAGAAAGCTTAAAGTATGAAAGTTGTAGGCCTTTGAAATAACTTTCAAACGATATATTATGGAGCCCGAACGAATCTCTGTGCAAAATGTTATGTGCGTTTTTCGGAACAGTACGCGTATGTGCGAACACTCGCGCGAACAAGCCTTCAGGTGCGCGAACTCGCGCGTGGGAGGCAGTGTTACTGCCGTTGAGCGCGAACTCTCGTGTGAACAGGCCTCCAGGTGCGCGAACTCGCACGTGGGGGGTCGTTTTAAAGCTATATTTCGCCCCCCACAGCCCCAAAACATAAAAACTTGCT